CTCCTCCCACTGGCCCCTACTCCCCCTCATTACCCCTTGTATCTCCTGGCTTTCTCCAGGCTGAGCTTCTTTCGGGATACTCCTGATTTCCGCGTCCTGGCCTGTGGAGGAGATGGCACGGTAGGCTGGATCCTGGACTGCATAGGTGCGTAAAGACCCTCATCCTTGGCAATCTGCCAGCATTCCTAATATTCCTCTAGCAAGAGTGGGGCCAACATGATCACTGCCAGGCTCCCCCTGCCACCCTGCCTAGGGTGCCAGCTGAGGAGGAACATGGAGAGGAGCAGGGAATGAGCCCTGTCAGCCCCAGACCACTCTTTCTCCTTGAATTACAGACAAAGCGAACTTGGTGAAGCACCCGCCGGTGGCTGTCCTGCCCTTGGGAACGGGCAACGACCTGGCCCGGTGCCTGCGCTGGGGAGGAGGTGAGAGTTGGCAAGCATCGCCCCAGGGCTGGCCATCCTGTGGGGACTGTCCAGCGTGGCTGGGTGGGTGCTGTCCTGGGGAAGGGAGGGCTCTTGGGATGAGGCTTGGGGCTGCATCTCAGCCCTGGTGCATCTAACTCCTTCCAAAAAACCCAGCACCATCAACCGTGTCCTGCCCAACAACCTTTTCCATCCAGGAGAGCCGTGCATTCACCGAAATCTCTGCACTGCTGCAAGGATGAGCTGGGTGTCTCGCTGGTGCCGTAGCAGCAGCCCCGGGTGCTCGGCACCCACTTGCCTCCAGCCCCATGGGACACGGCCACGTTCCCCTTCGCCCTCCCCAGACACCCACTTGCTTTCCCTTACAGGCTATGAAGGAGGGAACCTGATGAAGGTCCTGAAAGACATCGAGCACAGCACGGAGGTGATGCTGGACCGCTGGCAGATAGATGTCGTTCCCAGTGACAAGGAGGCCAACGGAGACCCTGTCCCATCCACCATCATCAACAACTACTTCTCCATCGGGGTGGTGAGTACCACAGGGCAGGGATGGGTCCTGAGGGCAGCCCGGAGCACAGCACGGGTGTTTTAGCTGGAGTGAGCAGCACAGCGCAGGGCTGGCCACCGGTGCCCAGACCAGTGCCGGGCCCACCAGCACTGCCCAGACCAGGAAAGCTGGGCAGAGGGAAGAGCCCTGGAGGCCAGCGGAGCATAGGATTTGTGGCCTGTGTCCACACCCAGATCAGAGCTTTCAGGGTGTTCAGCAGCTGGTAGGAAATACCTTGGCTGCTGTGAAGTCGCTGGAGCGATCCAGTCTAACGGGTGCACTTGAGGGACACCAGCCCCCCATGCTTCCTTCCCTGCCTCCCCCTGGACTCAGACTTCTTCTGAGCCAGCCTGAGTTAATTCCCAGGAGCAGGGCTGGTTCCTGGTGATGTTCCCCAGAGACCATAAAAGCCTTTCTGAGTGTTTGGTGAAACTGCATTTGCACTTGAGCCTCCCAGGTCAGGGACTCTCCCTCCCTGCTCTGCCTTGCTTGTGTTCCCAACCTCCCTCTGTCTCCTGGCATTGTTCTTCTGGTTTTATTCCCATTTGCAGTGGCAGTACTTAAATGCATAAACAGGTGTGGTATCTCTCTCTTCCCAGCTTGGAATGTTGTGAGAGCAAGTGCTTGAGGAGCTTAAATGGGATTCAGGGAAGTTTGGGGCCCCAGGGGTGGGTTGAGATCTGCTGGGCACCCCACCTGAAGCTTTTGCCAAGATGGCACCCATCAGCAACACCCGCTTTGGTGCTTGGACTTGCGTTCCGTGTTTTCGTAACCCAGGGAGGCTTGGGAGTCTGGGGAGGATGACAGCCCCATGCCACGGGGGCTTTCCCCAGTGCCGGAGGTCGATCCTGGGAACAGCAGGGCTTTTGGAGAACGGCACTTCCTTTCCCAGGGTCTTGCAGCGGTTTTGTCCTGGGCTGTGGGTACCTTAGGTACCACCACGGTGTGGGTCACCCACCCGGCAGCGCTGCAGGGTGCTTCTAGTTTCACATCATCTCCAAGGATGTCACTGCAGGTTGCATTTGGTGACAGCTACCGACTCAGGCTTAAACACCCCCACCCCACACAGGAGAAGTTGTGATGAGTTTCAGGGGCCTGTCAGGGTTCAGGTCCTGGCGTGTTCCCAGAGCCCTGCCTCAGCATCACCTCCATGTAGAGCCTTTATGATGAGGGAAGGAGGCAAGTGCACTAATTACGTCTCACTTAACGAGCCCATTCAATGCTTTGCAAGCAGCCTGGACAAGGGTGCCTCCATCGCCTTGGCACGGCCCCCGCGGTGCACCCCAGTGTCGTGGGGGCTGGTGGCAAGGGAAAAACACTGAGCTCCCTTACCCCTCCCTGCCCATGGGGCACAGAGCGGGGTTTCCATTTCCCTGCTGCACTGCGAACATCTCCGCGCTCCCTCTCCCCACAGGACGCCTCCATCGCCCACCGCTTCCACATCATGCGAGAAAAGCACCCTGAGAAATTCAACAGCAGGTAAGGGCTGTCCGTGGTCCCCCGAAAGCTGGGTGTGGGGGGATGCCCTGCTGTGCACCATGCCGAGGGCATGTGCTGGATCCCACTCCCCTCCCACCAGGCTCCTCCTGCCCCTCTCCCCATGAGACCAGCAACAGTCAGGGTTTTGGGGTGCTTCCCTGTGCAGCGTGGCGAGCCGCTCAAGCTTGGCCGCGCACCCAATTCCGTTCATTCATGCTTTATAATTAGTGATGAATTCCAGGGCCGGCAGAAGCAGGCCAGGAAGAGAGGGCAGGGCAGGCAGCAGGTCGCAGCTCGCTCCCGCTATGCTTGCGTGGAAATAGGGTGATGGCAGCAGGAGCCGTGGCTTGTGACCCTCATCCCTGTGTTCAGAAATACGTGCTAGAAACCCCTCGAACGGACCAAAGTGCCTGGCTCTACTCTGAAATTCAGCTCCCTTCAGCTTACAGATCCCCCTTGAGGGATCACAGAGGATGAGCAGTGGTCAGGGGCTGCCTGGCAGGGTGCAGGGCAGGGTGCTGAGGTGGGGGACATCCCCTCCCATGGGGTACCCCGTCCCCAGCAGCCCTGCTGACAGACAGTGATTCATGCTCAGCTCTGCTGCGAGCTGGTGGAGGGCACGCCATCTCGTGCTGAGGAACCACTCGGCACCCCACATCCTTCCCCTCTGCAGCGTGTCAGAGTGTCCACCTCAGCCACCCCCTGTCCCACCATGCAGCTCCCTGGGGCTGCGGCACTGCCTCGCGCCCCCATCACTGCCTCGCGCCCCCATCACAACACTCCGGCAAGGCTTGGGGGGTGGCTGGGGAGAGGCACTGCTCCCGAGCAGGATGCTGACACTGCTCTGTGCCCCAGGATGAAGAACAAGCTGTGGTACTTTGAATTTGGGACATCGGAGACCTTTGCAGCCACCTGCAAGAAGCTCCATGACTATGTTGAGGTGGAGGTGGGTTTCCCGGGATGGAACCTGGCACCAGCCATGACACAAAAGCTTTCTGGGAGAAGTTGTCCGTGGGTGCCTCGGGCAGGGCTTTTGGCTGTTGGGGGAGAGAGTGTGTGGCAGCTTTGACCCACACACTCCCCCCCGTGCAGGAGGCTGCGGTGGCTGGCAGGACCTGCTCATCCACTGCACGGCACTTGCAAAGCCGGCCAGCTGCAGGCAAAAGAATAGCCCTGTATTTTTCCCCCCTTCCAGCTGTATTTGAGAGCGTGCCTGGAATATTCTCTCTGTAAACTCCGCGTCTGCTCCCAACCCTCGTTGGATGACATGGAAACAGCCTTTAATTAGAGCGGGGAGGAGGGCCCGTGGTTGCTAAGAGTGCTGTCAGTTCTCCTCTCGCGCTGCGGGGTTTGGGCCGTGCTTTGCTGCAAACTTCCGCCTCTCCTTATCTCTGGATAAAAGACCCTTTTACAACTCAGGCTTGAGGGTGAGGGGGGAAGAAAGGTTGCTTGCCACAAAGGGCCGGTGCGTGTCCGGGTGGTGGGCGCAGGCTGGCTGGTGGTGGGCAGGCAGAGCCCGGGGAGCTGGCAGTGTGGTGTGTGTGGCCGTGGGTAGAGAGGCTTTGAAGCCCGTTACTAGGTGCGGAGTTTCAGCCCCTTCCCAAAGCCCAAAGAGGGTAGCCATTCCCTCGGCAGCTGGTGGGAAGGGGCCAGGAGCAGGGCCATGGCCATCTCACCCCTTTCCCCTACCATGCACCAGCGTCCCAGTGTGGGTAAAATCCGTGTCTGTGGGGTTCGATGCCATCGGAGATGGGTGCAAGGTGCCCCGCGAGCTGCCTGCACACTCCCCACCAAGCGTGCGGCTGCACCGGCCGTGCCACACCGGCAGGAGCGTTAATCCCGCAGTATTTGAAGTTGAAAGCAGCAGCTTGTCCTCCCTCCAGCTCCCAGGCAACTGTCAGCCTTGCAGAGAAATGGCAGTTTTGTTTTGGAAATTGGCACTCATTCCTCTACAGCTCCTGGAAATGAATTTGCTTTTTCCCCAGCTGCAAATTTCTACTTCCAGCATCGCTGCCAGCGCGCCGTCAGCTGCCCCTGCTCAAAGAGCCCATTGTAGCTCACTGGCACGCTAACAGGGGAGGGCTACACAGGGAGAAATCTCTCCCTGCACGCATGTGTGTGGGCAAGCGTGGGCAGCCATGGTCCTGCCTGCCCTGCACACTCCTGGGCAGGAATGGGCGCCCGCAGCATCCCCAGAAATCCCACAGCCTGGTCAGCCGACTCGCTCCCATCCCACTGCAGCCAGGTTGGTACCCACCTTGCAGGAAGGCAGGAAAGATGCCCATGGTCAGGGGCAATGCTTGGCTCGGCCAGGTGTGGAGTGTGTTGTCCATCCCATGAGAAACCAGAGCCCTCTCACTCAGTAGAATCATAGAATCAAGTCCAGCCATTAACCCAGCACTGCTAATCCCACTAAACCAGCTCCCTCAGCACCTCATCCACACACCTCTTAAATCCCTCCAGGGATGGCGACTCCACCACCTCCTTGAGCAGCCCCTTACAATGTCTGACAGCCCTTTCCATGAAGACATTTTCCCTAATATCCCATCTAACCCTGCCCTGGCACAGCTTGAGGCTGTTTCCTCTTGTCCTGTCACTTGGGAGAAGAGACCGACCCGACCATCTCTGCACCCTCCTGTCAGGGAGCTGTAGAGAGCGATCAGGTCTCCCCTGAGCCTCCTCTTCTCCAGGCTGAACACCCTCAGCTCCCTCAGCTGCTCCTCACAGGACGTGTGCTCCAGACCCTTCCCAGCTCCGTTCCCTTCTCTGGACATGCTGCAGCACCTCAGTGTCTTATCTTGCAATGAGGGGCCCAAAACTGAGCCAAGGATTCGAGGTGCAGCCTCACCAGTGCCCAGTACAGGAGGACAATCACTTCCCAGTATCTGCTGTTCAGAGCATTAGGGTCTGTTCTGTTCCTACAAATCAGACAACGAAAGGATTTACATCTTTCCCAAGCCTCAGAGAGACAGCTCTTCACTCCCAAACCAGAAGATTCCTGCCTTTTGCTTTCAGTGTGAGGCTAAAAATAAGTTCTCGGAGCATCAGGGAGGCAGAGCGGATCTGCACACCGACGCGTGCTTGTGCGCGCACCCGGCTCCGCAGGCGCGTGGCCGGCACGCTCAGCGCTGACCTACAGCACATCAAAAATAGGACCTTTGCTCGAGGAAAGCACCCAGGAGTCAGAGCAGTAGCGGGGGTTCATCAGCCCCTTCGCATTCCTCTTGGCGAAGCGAGAGAGGGCAGAAACGCCGTCGCATCCCCAAAATGCAAAGAAGAATACGTGCTGGTGTTGCTGAAGCGTAGCAGGGCAGGGAGAGAGCAGATGCCTGAAGGAAAAGACAAATGCTCTGGAGAAAATACAGTTGAATGTGAAAGTGGCTGCTTCCTCCAGAGGTATCTAGAAAAAGGATCCAGCACCGTCTGGGTAGCGTGAGAGCGAGAAGACCCGAAGTTAAGGAATGCATTTCCATGCTCATGCTTCCAGTCCTGCAGGAAAGCTGCAGGCAACAGATAGTTTTACCTTTTACAGGGTAATTTCAGCTGGGGCAGTCCTGCTGTACGACAGCAAAGCCCGGGATACCGGTTCTGTGTGCTGGCTTGCAGTTTTCTCTCCAAAACCTGCATTTTTTTTTCCTCTGATGCCTTTCCTATCATTTCCTTCCAGCCTCATTTCTCGTTTCCAAATTGTACTTGAAGACAACCAGTTTCGTGTGAGGTTTTGCACTGCCAAACTTTGTGACTCTTTCGAGTCAGTTTAACCAAGGGGAGGCAGGAAAGCGCATGCTGGAAGTGCTTGGACGGAGGTCACTCTAGGGCCGAGGTGGTATTGGGGTACAGCACCAAGCCTGGTGAGGTTTTATGTGCTCTCATAGGAAATCTGCTTTTCAAAACTGCTGTTTTGGATGTGTAGTAAACATATCAAAATAGCAGGGAAAGCAGCAGGTTTGCTCTGGGGACCATGCGGCCGCATGTCACGCTCAGGGCTCCCCCCTCCTTCGGGAGGGATAGAAGGCTGGGCTCCACAGGCACTGGGCACCAGCTCACCCCGACCCCGTGGCCTGACGCTGCCCATGTGCCCGGCAGTGTGACGGGACCCTGCTAGACCTGAGCAACGCGTCCCTGGAAGGCATCGCCGTCCTCAACATCCCCAGCATGTACGGCGGCTCCAACCTCTGGGGTGAGACCAAGAAGCAGCGCAGTTACAACCGGCTGGGCAAGAAAGCGCCGGAGAAGCTGCACGCCACGGTGGTCACTGATGCCAAGGAGCTCAAGTTCTGCGTGCAGGGTGAGCGTCAGGGGCAAGCGGGGTTTGTGGGGTGCATGGGGTTAGCATGGGGGAGCTGGGCAGCTGCCCACTCTGGCTGCAGCTTGGTGCCTGTGACGCTGGAGCAACAACACCAGAGGGATTGCTGACAGCTCGCTGTCTTTTGGGGTGCCAGGGTGACCCCAACAACGGTTGGCCCTAGCCGATGAAGGAGGGTGGCTCTTCCCATCTGGGTATAGCTCAGCACCGCATTCCTCAGGGCTGGTTATGCCGTGCCATGGTGGCCAGAGAGGACATGGCTCCCGCGCCCTGCTGTCCACCTCTCTCCCCACCCTCGGGATCACAGCTCAGGGGGTGCCCAGATGGCACCTGTCACTTGGGGGCGTGGGGCTGGGCAGCCCCCGTGGCCCATGGGACTGGCAGACAGCTGCTA